TTAATCAATCAAGGGACATTTAAAAAAATTAGATTTTTTTTTAAGTTGGAGGGAAAAAACAGCACCATGAATGACATGTCATACAATAATACTACAGTTTGTTTTATACTTTGTATATGGTGAATTGTATAGAGGAATAACAGGTAGGGGGATAGGAATTAGTAATCTAAAAAAGACTATTTTTATTGTTTATTTATAGGGCATAAAAAGACCTGACCCAAATGAACTAAGTGTCATCTCTATCGACAGCATTAAACCTGGGCACGGGCCGGGTTGGCCCGCGTGCCGCCCGGCACGGCACGCCGTTCGGCGCAGCCCGGCACGGCCCGAATTCAAGCACGGCACGGCACGAAGTTCAACTCCCGTGTCATGGGCCGTGCCACGGACAGGGTTGAGAATTCCCAGGCACGGCCCGGCACGAGCACGGCCATGGCCCGCCGTGCTGGCCCGTCGTGCCGGCCCGCAGGCACGGCCCGGAACGGCCCGCGGGCCAATGGTAATGTTACCGTTTATTCTAGCTCCTTAATAAGCCAAAAAAACGGCTAAAAAACGGCTAGTTTTTTGCCAATTTGCTCCCCAAAAGTTCTATAAATACTCACCTCCATTTCATTCCCAAATCACAAAATCACAATCTCTTCTTCTTATCTCTTATATTCTCTAAATCTCTAATAATCCTTATTTTCTTAAATTCTCTAATTATTCTCTTAAATTCTCTAATTATTTTCCTAATATCGGAAAAAATTAAAAAGTTCGTAATCGTAATTAGTGGAGCGTTGAAGCACGGTTGTAAGATCTAAACTAATCTTAAATTTATTATTGTTTTATTGTTATTATTAGAATAATCTTGTTTAATTATTATTGTTGTTAATTGTTATTGTTGTTGTTATAATTGTTGTTATTAATTATTATTATTGTTACAATTGTTGTTATTATTTATTTTTGTTGTTATTGTTATTGTTATAGTTGTTGTTATTAATTATTATTATTGATATTTTTATTGTTAAAATTGTTGTTATTAATTATTATTATTATAGTTAACCACTTTTTATTAAAAAATTAATTGTTAATTATGGCATCGAACAACCCATCATCTAGGTCTAGGGGGAAAGGCCGACTTATCCGTAGTAGTAGTTCTAGGGAACCACCAAATACAACGAGCCCCCAAATTACGAGTCAAACCAATGACCCCATTTACTTCCCCCCGGGCTATGAGCCATATAATACGTCGGGATTTCCAGCACCACCACTAAACCAATTTCCACTACCACCATACCAATTTCCACCTAATTATATCGGTGATCAACAAAACTATTGTTCTAGCCAAGGTAGCCAAGAAAGTACCCGAATTCCCTCCGGTTCTACCCCTTCTACTGCCACTCCCACTAGTCCCACTACTAACCATCACACACATCATGAATGGTTAACCGAAACTGAGATGCTACTTTTGAAAAACCGAAGGAGTGAGGTATGGCGTTATTTTGTCCTAAGTAAAGATGGTGAACAATGGGCAAAATGTAAAACATGTAATAGTGTATTCACGACAGTTACCAAAAACGGGACGGGACACTTATCTAGACACATGAAAGCTTGTGCAAAACCAGCTAGTGATCCAACCCAGCCCAAAATTTCCCAATTCCATCCATACGGCTTTACATACAACTATGAGAGGGATAGGGATGAACTAGGAAAAATGATAGTACACGCCGAACAACCTTTTCTTTTCTCGGAAAGTGACGCATTCAACACCTACATTAACAAAGCACTACAACCCCAACATAAAAGAATCTCTAGGAAAACCGTTCGTTCCGCCGCAATGAAAAATTTCCTAGAGTACAAAGTCCGGTTACAAGCCGAATTGAGTAACCTTAACTGTAGAGTATCTTTAACAGCCGATTCTTGGGATAGTGGTTACAAATATCACTATTTATGTGTGACTTGCCATTGGGTAGATGATCAATGGATGTTACAAAAAAGAATAATACATTTCAAAATGCAGGAATACCCACACACCGGCATTAACATTGCTCACCATTTAATGCAAGCAATAGACGAATACAACCTTCGAGATAAAATGATGTCTATGACTTTTGATAATGCAACCTTTATGACATACACAACTAATCTTATCAAACAAAACTTAACCGATGTACTATTAGACGGTGAAGCTCTTCATACTAGATGTGTTTGCCATGTACTTAACTTATGTGTACAGGATGGAGTTCGGGCAATTGGCCCATACTACAGCAAAATCAGAGATGCTATTATGTCTATTAATAGCTCTAACATGAGATACCAAGAATGGAAGAGTTTTCTAAAACAACAAAATATAAGGGTAATAAAAATTAGAACCGATTGCCCAACTAGGTGGAATTCCACCTATGACATGTTAACAAAGGCAATTGAGTACAAGGGCCCGTTAACATTATTTTACAACCAAAAATTTCCACAAAATGCTTTGTATGATGATGATTGGAATAACTGTGAAAGATATATGCAATTTTTACAGTTATTATATAACATGACGTATTGTTTTTCTACTGTTTACAATCCTTGTGCTCAAAACTTTCTTTCTAATGCATGCTTACTCGCCCAACTTTTCGCTGATCATCGCCATCAAAGTGATTATGATCAGTATCTTCCAGCAATGGAAAAAAAGTGGCGTAAATATTATAGTGAGATTCCTTTGATTTATATTTTTGCTTCCATATTAGATCCTAGGCAAAAGTATGAAAACACATTTATGTTAGTTGACATTTACTTTCAATGCATGTTTCTTGACGATGATGTAGAAAACTATAAGACTAATGTGAAGGATCAGTTTTTTGCTTTATATAGAGTCTATGAAGCCAAATATGGCACCTTTCCTCGCTCAGGGCCTTCCCAACCATCCAAAAACGTAAGTAAGAAGGCCAAACATTTATTTTCACAAGCTACTAACTTGATTTCAAGGTTTTCAGGTGATTCATCAATCAGGAGAACGCAAAGCGACGTCTCGGAGTTGCAGATGTACCTGAGTTACGACTTCACCAAAGGCATGGACGACGATGAGATAAAAAGCCTCGACCTCCTTGCATGGTGGAAACAACAAAGCTCGAAGCATCCAACTTTGGCGGCAATGGCACGAGACATTCTTGCTATTCAAGTTTCCTCCGTCGCCTCCGAACGAGCTTTCAGCGCATCCGGAAGGGTTTTAGATGATAGAAGAACAAGTCTAAAACCCGAAACACTAGAAATGTGCGTGTGTTTCAAAGATTGGTTGGATGCGGAAAATCGCTCACAAGACCGTTCTTACGACCACAACGACAACGAAGAAGGAACCTCCGCTTCCGGTTCGGGTTCGGCTAGTTCCCAATCTATGCAACTAGCCGATGACCTTGAAGGCGAAGGCGAAGACGAAGACGAAGACGAGCAAGAAGAAGGAGAAGAAGAATAAACAATTATTGTATATTGTACGATTTTAAAAATATCAATTTTATCATTTTCCAATTTTTGTTTAATACCATCATTGTATGATTTTTATCATTGTTATCATTGTACAATTTTCTCAACTCAAGTAATAATAATATAAAGTACGCATTATTCACATCCAAAGTCCAATTTGCCTTTTTTCCCCGTTTTGTTACAATTTGTAAATTCATATTAAAAAAAAATAAAATTATACCAATTACTAATAAATCATAAACATTAAATTTTAAAGTAATAGTATAAAGTAAATATATAAATATAAATATTGAATATACAAATTATAAAACATAAATATTCAACTTATAATTATAAAATTCATAACTTAATAACTTATAACTTATAAACTTATAAGTTATAACCTTATAAAACTTATAATTATAATTTTATAACTTATATACATTATAAACTTATTAATTTATAATGTTGTCATATATATAAAAAAAAAATAAAAATAAAAAAAATTATTTGAAAATTGCACCAGCCCGCAGGCCGGCACGTGGCTGACACGGCACGAGCCCGCCAGGCACGAGGGTCGTGCCGTGCCGTGGGCTGGCCTGTGAAAATGGCCGGCACGGCACGGCACGAAATCCTGGGCCCGCCGGCACGACCGGCACGACACGAACCAGCCCGTGGCCCGCCAGGCACGGCCCGGCACGGTGCCCAGGTTTAGACAACATCATTATCATTGGCAATAATGTGATCGAAAAATACATGCATGGCATTATTGGCATTTTTTCTAAGTATATCACTATACTCCTGTCATGATATGAGAGTGAGGGATAGCTCAAACGGTTAAAGCTCCTCTCCCGATTTTAAGTGATTTTAGGATTGATTCTCATCACTCGCTACTGTGGTTCTCTAAACACCTAAAAAAATGATATGATTTACTTGATTGTAGGCTCTCGCAGAGAGTTTTGCGATAGATTGAGCAAGACAATGAAAGGTGATTGCACAGATCATAAAGCATGTAGAAATTCATGCTTGGATGAAGATGGTCCTGTTCAAGGTGGAGGATGCATTCAAACATCTTTATCATTTGATCAAACTCCATTTACCGACTGCTTGAGTGAAGGTGATCAATCGATAGAACAGTGTGGCCAAAGTGCCCGTCGCGATACCATGAACAGATGCGTCTGCTTTGTTGCCTGTCAATGAATGATATCATAACCCAAAATCACTATCAATCCATTCAAGTTCTTATTATTTCAATTGTACTACATGTTCTCAATTGTACAACCCTTTTTAATATTCAGTTTGTGTGTTTTTCTTTTGTTAATTTCATTCAATTACCAGTGTATTTTGTTAATTTTTAGAGATTCAACTCCAAAACTTTAACCAATTATGTTAGTTGACATCTACTTTTGTTATTCTAATGTCAAATTAGAAAACTAAAGTATATTGAACCTCGTTTCACCCACGTAGTGAAGAAAAGGCACCAAAGGTGCACCAATGCTAGCACAGCACCTTCGTACGCACGCCTAAATAAGCAACCACCATAAGTAATTTATGCAAATGTCTAAGTCTTGATGCTGGAATGGAGAGGAGAGATTTCCTTTATTATTGTGATTTTTGTAATAATACGTTGAAACCAGCTTTACATTTAACAGTTATATTTCAGTTGAAACTGCCCCAAAAATCTACATTTAACATTGTTACAAAATCTTCTATACATTTCAATAAACAGATGAATGCCTTTACCTCAACACCAGATAATCAAGCTAGTACTCATTCTTCTAACCTCCATCCTTGGCGTAAACTTATAAACAAGACCTCCAAATATGTCCTCGAACATTCATCCCACTTCCGTCTATCCGTATTCCGTAAGATATTAACATAAAAGAAAACAAAATGCCTAATTACCTTGAAAAAAATGAGAAGCAAGCACTAAACTAAAAACTAAAAAAGAAGTTTCTGAACACTCAGTGTGACCCTGCCCATAACCTATACATAATACCGTGCTCACTTGCACTTCCATTAGACAGCCTCATTTTCTGCCAAAAATTCCGGCCCCTTGTTGTTTTTAAAGGACCTGATGCAGAGTGTCTTTGAAAAGAATCTGATGTCTGCCTATACGTCCTTGCTGATGCATTGAAATTTTCGGACATTGACATACCCTTCTCAACATCTAATGCAGATTGATAGTTTTGGAGAGAGAATTGAGTTGGTAAGTAATCAGGTGCCTCTGAGACTGGGCTTGCTTTATCATCGTAATCCACCGATAAGTTTTCATGGCTGCCATGTCTAGAGTTGCCATCCCTGGAGTCATCACACTCATCACACACTAGCTTCAATGCCTGTACAACCTCACCCATAAAAGGACGGTGAGACACCTCAGATTGCACACACATTGAGGCAATAGCAGCAACTTTCGCCGCACTATCTAAAGATACATCAGACCCTAAGGAGGGGTCAAGGATCAATTCTATTCCTTCTTTAGTAGTGAGGAATGGCCTTGTCCAAGCAGCTAGGTTTTCTTGGCCAGGTGGTTGTGTCATATCTACTGGCTTTCTTCCAGTTAAAAGCTCAAGAAGAACAACTCCATAGCTGTAGACGTCACTCTTTACAAGAAGGTGTCCTGTCATAGCGTACTCTGGAGCAACATACCTAAATAGAATTGAAGAGAATTAGGAGACAAAACATGGAATATGAAATCCTAATTAGAGTAAAATGAAGCAAAATCTGCTAAGAAAAAAAAGGACTATACTGTCATAATGTTTCTATTTACAGATTATAAAAAAATAATAAAAAAAAAATTAATAAAAAAGTAAAGCTTTACTATTATTATGACTGGGGTGTTCATGAGCCGAGCCGAGAATTTTAAGGAATTAGGAAACAAAAGGAATATGCAATTTTAATTAGAGTATAATGAAGCAAGAAATTAAAAATAGTCACCATACTGTCATAGGTCTTAACTTACGTTCCAAAAAAAAAAAAAAAAAAAAAAAGTTACAACTTTTATGTCACTAGTAGGTGTGTTAACAAGCCAAGCTAAGGCTGGGCTAGGGGTTACTCAAATATACATCTTCTTGGATTGTATATACGAAGTACATATTTTTCTTTCTTGAATTTTAATGCACAGGATTTCTAAAAAAAACTCTTGATAAAGGAAATTTGAACATAAAAATTGTGTATTTCTAGTTCAAATGAGATGCATATTCAATTCAAAAAAGATGACATGAATCCTCATTCTAACTTACTCATTTTAAGCCCATTCTCACTTGATCCTAGCTAAAATTAAATTAAGCTCAATATGTTTTTCAGATCCCATATAATTTCACCTTTAAAAAAATATAATAATACTCAAATTTTTACTGGGATTATGAAAAAACTAAAATTTTCCAAATTATACTTTTAAGAAAAAAAAATTCATAATTTAAGTGCAGTTGATTGACCCACTAGTTAAAACATGGATTTATCAGTGGCCACACTATTCTCCCCAGTCCCCAGCCATGAAAGACAAGTCATCACAAACAACCAGGAATCCATAGAATATAATCAAACAAGCACCAGAATTGTGTATACTTTCTTCAACAAAAGAGGAAGCATTCACAGAAAACTCAATAGCTCAAATACAGTGAAACATTAAATCTAGCATATTCCTCCAGATCACCATGCAAAAGACAAAGGGAATTTTCATACCCAAAAGTTCCCATTACACGTGTAGAGATGTGTTGATTGTCTCCATCCATAGCAGAACGAGCTAAGCCAAAGTCTGAGACTTTTGGTGTGAAATCATTCTCCAACAAAATGTTGCTGGACTTGAAATCTCTATGAATGACTCGAGGACTGGAATCCTCATGCAAATAGGCAAGACCACGTGCAGCACCCAGTGCTATCTTCATCCGAGAAGCCCAATCAAGAGGAGCGGTTTCTTTATCTGTCCCTAACAACACAAGAGCCAGCAGTTAGTCATGCTGTTTTAGTTTCAATAGAGGAAAAAGAAACAACAAAAATAGTATAACATTACTACCATGTAGATGAGACTCCACACTGCCATTTGGAATAAGTTCATAAATTAAGCAACGTAAGTGCTCATCGGTACAAATGCCAATTAACTTGACCAAATTCCTGTGATGAAGACGGCTAAGCATTTCAACTTCAGCCAAGAATTCCCGACCACCCTGCTGATCATCTCTCTTGAGAACCTTTACAGCAACACTAGTTTCATCTTCCAGAACACCACCATATACAAGACCAAAACCACCTTCCCCGACTATTCTTGAAGGACTGAAGCCATCAGTGGCCTTTTCTATCTCACTTGCATTGAAAGTCTTAGCTGATCCAGTGTATGCCGCAAGGTTAGATCCAATTGACAATGAAGAGCTTGGACCACTCCCAATTGAATTTCCTGTAGGCCCTGAAATATGAATAGTTCGGTACCTATTAATCTTCAATTATATCTGATAATCTATAGTATCAGGTCACAGTCCATATAAATCAGATAATTATTTCATTAGTGTTTATCTAAATTAAAGTCACTCTGTGCTGATGCCAAAACTCCTAAAGTCTTAATTCCCCCTATGCCTATAACAATGCTGCCTCTTTCCATTCTGTAGGAACTAGGAAGTGTGTGGTAAGGGCAGGAAAGAGAGGGGGGGGGGGTGTTTGGAAGAGCTCTATTACCACACAGTTGAACAGGCCTTTTAGCCACACACACCTACATTTGCAGAGAGGCTTAATGACTGAATCAGTTACACCTTATTTTGAAATGCAACTAAATTTCCTAATACAAAGCATATAAGGAACAATGAATTGCCCATTAGAAACTCTTTCCACTTCACAGAAATTAGACTCGAGTTAGTAAAAGTTCCCGGAACCTGACTATGAATACAATCATTGCCTTCATCTCTCCTTTTTTTTTTCCTTCTTTTGGCTGATTCAAAAATTGGCTACTTAAGTTTGCAGGAGTCATGGCAACACTACTCTGAGTACTCTCTGTCATATCTGTTATATAATGCTTTTGAAAGATCAAGGAAACAACAAGATCAACATAATTCCAATTTTGTTGTGTCCAATATCGTTGTTCTGGTTTTATAGGATAGTAATGTACAAGGAAAAGTTCCAAAGTTTACAATACCAAAACATAGCACACCCTTGTTTTTCTAAATCTATATCAGGTGTAAACGTGTAAAGGGATTGCTAGATCTATTCACCTTCAATGTAATATGACAGTGTAAAGGGATTGCTAGATCTATTCACCTTCAATGTAATATGAAGGTGAGACTTACTCCCGAGGATGACAACAGCTACTCCCTTCGTACCGGATTTGTCGCACCATTTTGAGGGGTGCAGGATTTTATGCATAACAATCGACTTTCTTATTTTATTGTATGTTAGAATACACTTGGTTTTTTTTTTTTTCCCTTGAATGCTCTTTCTTTTACTCACTTAGGTCCAGTTCATTTTACCTTAAAAAAATAATATTAAGTAAAAATAATTTCAGTTTAGTAAAAATAAATTCAATTCAGTAAAAATAATTTCAGTTCAGTAAAAATAAGTTCAGTTCAATAAAATTCAGTAACTTTAAAGAATAAATATAATAGAAAATCAGTAAAAATAATTTCAGTCTAGCAAAAATAGTTTCAGTTCAGTAAAATTAATTTCAGTTCAGTAAAAATAATTTAAGTTCAGTAAAAATAATTCCAGTTGAGTAAAAATAATTTCAATTCAGTAAAAATGAGGTGAAGTGAACTCTTTCAACTGATTATCATGTTATGTTCCTTTCTTTATATCATACGGTTCCTTTTGACGATTCATATTAGCTGACCCCAAATCATTTTGGCACTAAGGCTTTGTTGTTGTTGTTATAATTATAGTTAGTGTGAAGTGGGTCATTGCTTTTTCAGGGTATGAGTGGGAATATTTTTATTTCAGTTTTTTATTAGAAAGTAGTAAGTATATTGGAGTATTGGACCCAAAATAAGTGAGAAAAATATTATATACGTATTATAAATATTAATAATTAAATAAATAGTGGGTTTTATTTTTAATTTTTTTTTTAAAATATAAAAGTGTTTTGCTAGTAATCCAGGAGGACTTAAGTGAGTGAAAGGATAACAAGGGTATCACCTGATGATCTTCCAAGTGAAGGTAGACCACGTGCAATTTGTACTGGTTCAGGATCACGGTTCATATGTCTGAATAGCAGAACCCAAGCAACAGAACAGCAGATCAACACACAAACAATTGCTGAAAAAATTATAGCAGCAATAACAATGCCACTAAGTTTTTTTTTATGCTTCTGCTTTGTCACATCAACTCCCAGAGGATGCACACTATTCTGATTAGGGTCTCGAACAGAGTAAGGCATGCCATTAATAACCGCAATGTCAGCAGGAGCCATAGGTGGAGATGCAGGGAGACCTAAAATATCAAAGATCAAATCAACGATAATAATGATCAATTTTTACGTTTTAGTGAAAGAAGTAAGAACAAAGGAAAGACTCTTTTCACCTGTCAAATATTTCACTTTGCCACCAAAAGAAATAAAAAAGAAAAGAAGGAGAATCAAACAACCAGAGGCATTTAGCTATAGGGTAATACCTGGATAGCGTACATACAGCACGTCATAATCACCAAATATGGACTTGTCTATGATGACCTGCTTGTGCCAGAACCTCTGAAATGTCAACAATGCTGTAACATTGTCAAATTTTTCATCAAGGGGTACCAAGTCGACTAGGGCAATAGTTTTATCTGATTCCTGGCTTGCTGCATTGGCTCCCATTACGCGAACTTGACTTTGTTTCATAAATACCCCAGCTGCAATTTCCCTGGACAACTCTGATACCAAAGGGAAAAATGTATACAAAGGCACACTAAGGCGCAGCCCAACTTGCATCGGCCAGACACAACCACAGGGTGATCCAGGAGGCGTATTTGTAAAAGGCTCGGGGCATGTAAGGTATGCACAATCTACAATTTAGTCAACCTGTGTTAGATTAATGCAGATAAAGAAAAGAGATAAAGACAAGCATAACATAAAGAGGAGTGAGGGCTTATGGACCTGCGTTGGGTGGTGGAGGCGGTAATGACCAAATTGGTGGTGCAAGTGGTCTCTTTGTTTTCCTTGTTGAAGACCCAGAAGGAGAAATTTTAGGAGAGAGAAAGGGAACTTGCAAGAAGAAAAAATGTTTAAAATAAATAAGCCATTTCTATACAGATGCAGAATTAGAATGCATATCAACAAGTGTTTTACTTACTTCCAGAATTACCAGGCGATGCCCTCTGGAGGGGTGAAGGCGCAGGAGTAATTTCAGGAATTCCTGGAGGAGATGGTAAAGGGCCCATAGCTGTTGGAGATCCTGAAGTAAACAAACAGAAAATAACTGATATCATTGTCAAGCCATTAGCAATAATTTGGCATTCGTATAGGAGCATTTAGAAACTAAGGGCTTTCAGCTTGAACTTAAACCCAAATAAAAAATAAAAAAAAATGAATTTACAACTCCATCTCAAAAGAAGATAGGATTAATTACTACGAATACATGAATTAACTATCTCAAACAACATTATGAATATGATTTTGAGCTGGTGGGAGAAGGAACATAAATTTTATTTATTCCTTAGGTAAAGGTGCTTATGTATCAATAGAGGTTGATGAAGAAGGCACCGAAAATGAGATCCTTCACATGGTGCTAGTAAGGAGATAGCGAAGCATGAACAGTATTGAAACTAGATGTCCTTGTGGATTTATGGATCAACGGAGTTTCTAACAGAAAAATTCCTGGAAATTACTCTAAAAATGTGATGTTCACTGAATTATTTTTCAGTAAAAAATTAGAGATTGTGTCCAACTTACCCTTTCCACTCTACTTGTTTACTTTCTCAACTGATTTTTCTTGTTCCAATTTCCACAAATGGCTTTGAATAAAAGTTCATATTAGCCAGCCCCAAATCCTTTTGGAATTAAAGCTATATTGTTGTGAGAGTGTGCTATCACCTAGATTATAGATGTGATACATGATTATAAGATGCATTTACATACATAGCTAGGTTATGAAATTTTTAGTTCATTGTCTTATTGATTACATGCATAAATCTAGGGAATCTGATCTGTCTAAGATCTGTGTATTAGTTGATATTCCATCAAATCCAGGAGAATTCAAGAAAAAATTGAGAGAAGCATGTGAACATGGGAACAATCAGTTTACAGCAAGGTTATGTTCTAAAATCTACACCACCCTAGGGTATTGCATCTCCAACGTTTCTACTCTTGTTTCAAGTTCATGTCTTACTATCTTGGCCCCGAGCGCAATACATCATTTACTCTTCATATCTAGTCACTTTCCTGCCCACATTTAATACAAATTCACCATCTAAGTTTTTAGCCTCCTACACCTACAAGTGTTTTCAGAGCTTGACTATAGAGAGCTAGAGACCCTCTAATGTCAACAGAAACAATAAATCAAACCAAACAGTACCTGTAACTGGAGAATGATGTAGTGAATGATGAGATCCGTTATTTGCAGGAGGCACTTTGAATGAGAATGGGGCGGGAGCATTTGCATTGTGTCTCTCAAATTTAGGTTTTGACGGAGCTTTATTAGGGGATGGATCCCACAAAACAAGGAATGGAAATTTATTAGTCTAGCAGACAAGTTTCTTCAACACAAATAAGACAGATATCTTCATTATATTCTTACCATGATGTGGTGAAAACTTGTCCTCTGGTGATTGATTTGGTGCTCTACCTGGAGGTGCCATTGGTGAAGATCTACCACTAACAGGGTTATTGCTTGGAGGTGGAGCAGATAATGGGGATGTATTGGGTTCTGTTAAATGAGTTCAAGCCAAAAAGAAAGTTTGACACTGGGTTCAATGAGCTGTATACAGGTAATGTATAGCAAATTATATGCAAACAAGATTGGTGGCACATCTGACAGAAAGACAGACAGGTACCTGAAACATTTGGTCTTGAGATGGGAGCATGCTTTGGTGCTTCTGATTGATGAGAACTCGGGGGAAGGGATCTAGGAGTAACTTCGGGGCCAGGTGGCGCACCTTCTGGCAATGTTCTTGGAGAAGGTGATCGCTCTGAGATGTAGGCAGAATTCAGATTAATTGAATATAAAGAAGAAGTACAATGCAAGGATATGCACTTTCATATAAGTTGACATACCTGGAGAAGCTAGTGATGGTGGAGGAGCCATATCCGGTGTTTCTTTTCTTTGAGAAGATTGAGGGGGTGCAGTGGGAACAGTTTGTTGCCTTACTGGAGAAGGTGGAACAGAGGAATGTAATGGCTCTGAAGATGGAGGAGCAGATAAAGGTTGCGACGGGTTTGCAGGAGAAGCTGGAGACAGAGGGGTCAAGAAAGGGGATGGAGGAGAAGCATTTGGTGGAACTTCTCCAGGTACAATGGACGAACGTGGAGGGGAGATGTGAGGTAACTCTAACGGTGGTGGTGCAGGCAAAACATAGGGAGGTGGTGAGGGATGAGGTGGGGCCAATTGAGGTAGTGGAGCTGATGCATGTGATGGCATAGCAGAAGAATGGGGCGGAACAGCTGGGGGTGGTAAAGGTAAATCTGGTGGAGGCATCACAGAAGACGGTGGTACTGAAGCATTTGAAGGGAATGCAGACGTTGGAGGAGAGGCAGGTGGAGGGATCAGTTGAGGAAGAGGAGAAGATGCAATTGGAGGGATCAGTTGAGGGGGAGGAGAAGATAGAATTGGGGGCACATGTTGAGGCGGAGGAGATAGAACATTTGATGGAAGAGGAGAAGGTGAAGCTAAAGTTGGTGGAGGGTCCAAGGTAGGAGGCGCCATTGAAGGAGGAAGAGAAGCATTTGAAGGCACGGTAGAAGTTGGGGGAGGAGCATGCGGCAAGACCAACTGTGGTGGGGGAGACATCGTATATGGTGAAACCGATTGTGGAGAGGGAGATGATTGATGAGGTGGCACTGGTTGAGGCATAGGAGATGATTTATTCGGCATGCTCAACTGAGGCGGAGGAGATGATGCATTTGGCATGCCTAACTCAGGTGGAGGAGACTGCGTATCTAAAGGATGTGGTGGCATTGTAGGGTGTAGCAAAGGTAAAATTGGCGATGCCTTTGGGGGAGGTGTCAAATTCAATCCTTGTGGTGGCTTTGTAGGCAATGGGGGCTCGGGAAACGGTGGGTTTGCGGCCAGTGGAAGAGCCGGAATATGAGAAGGTTTAGCAGCTCGTGGTGGTTGAGCTAATGCATGTGTCGGGGCCAAAATAGCAGGTGAAGTTGAGTTAGGTGGGGCCTCAGCAACAGGAATGTGAGGTAATACTTCTGGTGGTTGAGCAGAAGGCAATTGAGGTATGACCAGTGGAGGCTTTGCCGATGAAGCATGCGGTGGTTCGGCAACAGACAATGGGGGCTTAGCAACAAATGGAAGATCCGAACTATGAGGAGGTTTTGCAACTAATGGATGAGAAGAAGCATGTGATGGGGCCATAACAGTCGGGGGAGTTAAATTTACTGGGGTCTCGGTAGGAATAGGAGGGGACTGCATGGTCGAAGAATGTTGCGAGAATTTTGGTGGTGGCGAAGGAAATGCTTGAGGTAACGCCTTTGGTGGTTCAGCACTTGGCAATTGAGGTAAGATCCCAGGTGACTTTGCATGTGGTGTTTCTGCAATAGGCAACGGGGGCTTAAAATCTATTGGCTTACTTTGAGGAGGCCTAGCATCTAGTGGCTGAGATGAAGCATGTGAAGGGGCCAATACAGTCGGTGGAGTTGATACAACTGGAGCATCAGCTCCAGACATAGGAGGTGACTGCATGGTTGAATTATGTTGTGAAACTTCCCGTGGTGGTGAAGGAGATGCTAGAGCCTCTGGTGGTTGAGAAGTTGGCTGCCGAGATACGGCCACCGGTGGCTTTGCTGCTAGTGGAATAGCTGACGCATATGGTGGCTCCGCAGCTGGCAATGGGGGCTTAAGATCTAAGGGCTTTGCAGCTTGTGGAACCAAAACAGATGGTGATGTTGAAATAATTGGGGCCTCAGATTCCGGTATCGGAGGAATAGGAAGGGATTGCATGGTTGTATTATGCTGTGAAACTTCCATATGTGGTGAAGGAGATGCCAATGGGAAAGGCTCTGGTGGTGATATAGTACTTGACACTTGAGGTATGACTACTGGCGGCTTTGCAGTCGGTGGAACTGCTAAAGCACGTGGTGGCTCAACAGACGGAATCATAATTGAATCATATGATGGCTCATCACTAGCTGGTTGAGTTGTATAATGTGGTGGTTTAGCAGCTTGTAAAGATGGTGCCAAATCATTTGATTGCTGGGCCGCAGGTGGTGACGTGGATTCTTGTGGAGCCTTTGCAGATGGAAAAGCTGAATAGCTTGGTGATTCCTCAGATGATGTTGGTGTGGAACCATGGAAGCCATGCTGTGGTGGCAGTGTATTTGATTGTCTTGGTGTCGGGAAGGGTGGTGGCCCTTGGATTAACTGATAAACTGGAGGAGAATTGATTGATGGAGATGAAATGGGAGGCTGAACGATCAAACCTAATTCATAGATAAACACAAACTAATTAGCATGAAAATTTTGTTCTTTAAAGCAGTAGCACATATGCTATCAGAATCAACAACTTACCATTTTGCAGTGGCTCTTGTTCAAGTATGAAATTAGGCACTTGTGTTTCTATGGAAGGAATTGGAGATGAGGACTCCAGTGACAGAGGTTCACCAAAACCTGCAGATTATTACGATCATATAAGTCAAAATGGTATACAAATGTGCTAAATCATTCTGTTTCAAAATAACAATTATCAGCCAATATGAATCTCATTGTTAGGCTGGTCATAATCAGGTTCGGATGTACAAAATCTTCCCCCTAACCAAATCAGACTAGTTGACAGGCTGCTTTCCACAAAGTTTTTAGGATTGGAAAGATTACAAGAAAGTGCAATCTAAAACCATAAGAAAGACTGTGGTCCTTGTGAAGATGAAGTTCTGACTCCGTTCGTGACTGCATGTAGTCAAATTAATAGCACCCTTTTTTTCCGAATAGTAACTAATTACAATTTAAAGTTGGTTAAGTTGTCATTAATTTTATCAGGATGCAATAACTGGCATGGAAGTTCATTTATCAATCACATTCAACCACATTACATTGGCCACTACTAAACAACAATGAGGCAGAAACCAGACTGCAGTCAAGTCATATTGCAGGCTAAAAAGGCGACGACATCCTCCGGTAACGGGAGCAGCAGACGAAATACGGTTCATCCAATAACCGGATGCGCTCAAACCGCAATATGGACCATACAATAAATGGCAACCAGGGTAATGTACAAGTAGAATCCATCAAATGCTCAAACAACAAATTTCATGCATTAGAAGTTGGAATCAGTCCATACTTCAGCTTAATCTTACTTAACAGGTGATTTCGTATTCTAAGAGAGATGACTGATATTTGAACATCAATCACTGTTACATCTGTCACCAACACAGGAATTTTGACAGCAGAAGTAAAAAATCAAACCCATGATCTTATTCTTAACCCCCTAATTACCCAATTTGACAATCTTCAGCATTATGTATCTTCAAAATCTCCCAAAAAAATACAGCAAAATTCAATGAAAAAACTAACCCAAATCAATATTCAGAAAATGTGATAACCCAGATGAGATTATAGATAAAACTTAGCAAATTAATCAAGAATTGAACAACAAAATCCCAAAAAAATTAAAATATAGCACATTGGAAAGTAAAATTTATTACCTGGAGATCCTGGAACAAGAATAGCTACAGCAATGATGAATAGATTCATCAATTGCCAAGTAACTTGAAGCATCAACCCCATCCCATGAAGTAGTATAAAATTCAAATCTCTGAATTTTAAGCTTTTTAATCATAGAAAATTAAACAACCCATAAAACCAAGAACAAAAAAAAAAAAAAATCACCAAATTTGTGATTTTAAGCAAAATCACTTCTCACCCAGAAAATAGCAGTAATTTTTAAGCAATAAGAATATAATTTAATCTACAGAAACCCAAAAACCAAGCAATCTTTTTAGAATAAAAATTTAATTTAAAAAAATCCCTCTTTTTTTTTCCCACTTATTTCCTGCAACTCTGAAAACTAAAGCTGGCTAAAGCACAGAACTGCGGTTGCCATGAACCGTTTCTACTGTCAAGAGTTAAGAGAAATGCCAATAACTGACTAATTATTAATTAAATAATAAAAGAAGGTGTAGTTACACTTGTATTATACACTGTACTAGTTTATTAATTATGTCCATCTTCCCTAATTAGAGAGAAAAAGAAATTAAAAAAAAAAATACTAAGAGAGAGAAATGAGGGATACTGCCAAATATTAAAGTATGCAAGTTGGTAATAATGGAATTTTATCAAGTGATTGTTTGATAACTAGTTTTCAATAAATATCCTTAATTATTTGTATGTTAAGATTAGAGAGGGATGATATTTTGAAGATTAATAATCTTTGAGTTCGAGAATAATCACAAGCGGTAATAGATTGATTGACACACTTGTTTATGAGGTAATAAGTCAAATTATTACATCTGAAATAAAGATATTTCAGTAAAATATTTTACGAGATTCAAAATATACTCCATATGAAATAAGTTTTTCTACGGTATAAGTAACCAAATATGATCTGAATAAGTATTTGGTGAGTGGATAATATACTTTTGTTTCGAATTAAATTACCCCTTTTTAAAATGTGTCGATTTATTAGTTGGTCTATTCCTTTAATGAATAACTTCATCTGCCTAATGTTTTCTTAATTTTTTCATTTTTAATATTATGTCATTTAATGAAGCAAATAAACTAAAAGAAAATGCTATACATAATCTTTAAAACTATGTATAAGAAGGTAAAAAAAAAAAAAGTATTAATAGAATATATTCATTAATTACACTGATTTGAGGGTGATTTTGTCATGCATACATTGCTAAACTAATACGGAGTACCAAATAAAGTAAGATATTAATGCTTATTTATAGTCCTAACTCCTAAGAGCTACGTAAGTATAGCATTACCCTAAACTAAAACATCTAAAAAAAAAAAAAGTATTAATAACTGTTGCGTGGATGTAGTTGGTTAAAGTATATCAAGTTGGTGAAAATGTAGTTTTATCGAGTGAATGTAAGGTAGTGTTGGAAATCAGCCAAAAAAAGTTTGAAGAAAAATAATAAAAGAGGAAAGTGATAGTTTATTATTAGGAGGCTGCTCATTACCATGAATTTGTTGGATTGTCAGCAACTTAAAATAGTTAAAAATATGTCATGTATCTAAACAGGTATTGCCACATCATCCTTCTTTATATCTAATTTTTCTCTAATTTGCCTTTTAAGACAAAACAAGTCCCTATGTGAGCATCATCATATTTTCTGCTCCTATTTATAAACCATAACACTTTGGTTTTTATATATCCTTTTTTTTTTTTTTTTTTTTTTTTTTTTTTTTTTTTTTTTTTTAGAATATTGGTTTTCATATATCCTACTCAACTTAATATAGGTTTATATGCAAATAAAGTTTTAAGTAATTAAGCAAAAACAAAAAAAATTATTTATTTCAGAAATAAAGGTTTGTTTAACAAGCTAAGTTCATATAAAGAGTGTTCAGCAAATGAATGATAAAAATAAGTAAAGGAAAAAAAAATTATGTAATTGAAAATTTATTAGTTTATCCATCCGGAGTAGTTTTTGTTTTGTTTTTTTAAATAGGTTTAGGCTTTATTCTCTCTTCACCATATTCTTATTACTCCGTACCCAACTATCTTAGTTTTAGTACTTATTCTTATCAAAATCATATTAGATTTCGTTTGCTTATTGTCAGATATCTTTAATTTCATATTTGTAAACGTATGATATAAGATAATATAATAGCTATACTATTTCATTTTGTTAATTACCTTTGACTATCAAATCTTTCATTACATATATTAACAAAAAACTATAAAATAGTTTATATTACAAAACTACACATGCATTAAGGCGAATCTAATTAACAATGTCTCACAACTTTATTTTTTGTATATATTAATGAGAATTTTAGGTCAAAGTTTAAAGTTCAACTATAAATGTATAGATATGAAAGGGTATACACATTAAATTGATCTAACATAATTTTAATTGATAATGTTTTTCCTTATTCATTAACCTACAATTAAATCAAATAAAGTTCAGTCAAGTTAGACAATTGAATCAAAAACTACTTCATATGTGCCGAATGAACTCATTTTACACGCACCTTTCATCGATCATAAAAGAGATGTAATATTACGAAAGGACTCCTCCACGGCTCTACATTGAGATTGAAATAATTGTCATCTCATAAATATGGAGCTTTAATTTGAGTAAAAAGCAAACAATGACGGGAGAATTAAAGGCAGTTGAGGAGTCCAAAAAGGAGGACCAAATGAATATACGATGGCTTATGCACAAAAAAAAGATCATGAGGACATGGACATCCTCGCTTTCAACTTGCGACCGTTGCTAAGACACCAAAGAATCAAGGATATAATTGAACATAAATATGTGCCAACTCCTCCAACCACAAAATGCCCCAAAGTAGACTTAATAAATCTAATCTATAATATATATATATATATATATATATATATATATATATATATATATATATATATATATATATATATATATATATATATATATATATATATATATATATGGCATTTTTGGAGAGCATTCGGAGCGCCTCGTAAGAAATATACATATTTCGACCAATAAGAAGAAAGATTTGTATTTTATTTTTGAATTAAAAAATTATGTCACCACCTAAATAAAAGTAACGAATTAGATTTGATATATCTCAAAATTTTAATGCCACGTAGATTATAATCCACGAATTAAATTATTTTAATGAAAAAAATAAAGTAAAAATATAAGAAAAGAAAATTTTATTAATTCAATACTACGAGTATAAGAAATCCAAAAAAATATACTAAGAAATATTTAAATGATAAACGCTTATAGTAAAGTTTGATACCTATCATTATAAGATAAATTTTGATAGTTTTTATAATAAGAAATACAAATTGTTCGTTAATTATAATTAAATTAAAATTTGTGATACCTACCATTATAAATTGACACATCATACGACACAAATAAAATTTCGTATCAATAAAAAACCCTATCAAGAGAATTTTGTATTAGTAATTTTGTGTTAATTTTTGGTCATCAATGGCCGAGTAATTTTTAACTTAATTTTTAAAATCCTATGTTTAAATTAGTATTTCTAATTATTACTTACATTGTATTAATTTGGGATACTCAACGATTATATGTTTATGTTTTATTTACTAAATGTTTTTTTTTACATGCAGATCTAACACATTATATGACACAAATAAAATTTCATATCAATACAAAACCCCATCAAGTGAATTTTGTGTTAGTTTTAGGTCATCAATGTCCGGGTATTTTTTAAAATCTTATGATTAAATTTATGTTTGTAATTATTAGTTACATTGTATTTATTTAGGATACTTAACGATTATTTGTTTATGTAATGACATACGATTAGATGTTGTATACTTAATATGTAGATGGCTTTGATCATTTTTGGAGATGATGAAAAAATTCCAATGCATAGATTTGATTTATATCGCAACAATTTTTCATTTATTGGTAAATATATTGATTTATTTTATATAAATGTAAAGATTTAATTTATATCAATTTCAGTTTGGCTAACATTTCATGGTTTAATTTATCCATTAATGTAGTAGGTTGATTGTGGACGAGGTTGGTGATTTTATCGAAATAAAAGATATGGTAAAACAATGAATAATGATTTAGTATTTAAATTATTAAAAATTTATCATTTCTACATTAAAGATTTTATATAACGCAAAAAATATTATATTTACAATTTATTTATATTTAATAAATTCATTATATATATTATAGTAAAAAAAAATATTAAACTTTTGTAATTTTGTTTGAAATTATTAAATACAATAAATCAAATAATTAAAAATCTTAGATGAAAAAACCGTGCATCGCACGGGCTTCCATCTATATAAATAAAGTAGGCATTTTTGGAGAGCATTCAAAGCGCCACGTAAGAAATATACTTATTTCGACCAATAAGAAGAAAGATTTGTATTTTATTTTTGAATTAAAAAATTATGTCGCCACCTAGATAAAAGTAACGAATTAGATTTGATATATCTAAAATTTTAATGCCACGTAGATTATAATCCACGAATTAAATTATTTTAATGAAAAAAAATAAAGTAAAAATATAGGAAAGATTTATTAATTCAATACTACGAGTATAAGAAATCCAAAAACATTTACTAAAAAATATTTAAATGATAAACGCTTATAATAAAGTTTGATACCTACCATTATAAATTGACACATCATACGACACAAATAAAATTTCGTATTAATAAAAAACCCCATCAAGCGAATTTTGTGTAAATTTTTGGTCATCAATGGCCGGGTAATTTTTAGCTTAATTTTTAAAATCCTATGTTTTAAATTAGTATTTCTAATTATTACTTACATTGTATTAATTTGGGATACTCAATGATTATATGTTTATGTTTATTTACTAAATGTTTTTTTACATGCACATCTAACACATCATACGACACAAATAAAATTTCGTATCAATACAAAACCCCATCAAGCGAATTTTTTGTTAGTTTTAGGTCATCAATGTCCGAGTAATTTTTAAAATCTTATGTTTAAATTTATATTTGTAATTATTAGTTACATTGTATATATTTAGGATACTTAACGATTACTTGTTTATGTAATGGCATACGATTAGATGTTGTATACTTAATATGTGGATGGCTTTGGTTATTTTTGGAGACGGTGAAAAAATTCCAATGCATAGATTTGATTTTATATCGCAACAATTTTTCATTTATTGGTAAATATATTGATTTATTTTATATAAATGTAAAGATTTAATTTATATCAATTTCAGTTTGGCTAACATTTCACGGTTCAATTTATCCATTGATGTAGTAGGTTGGTTGTAGACGAGGGTTGTGATTCTATTGAAATAAAAGATATGGTAAAACAATGAATAATGATTTAGTATTTAAATTATTAAAAATTTATCATTTCTACATTAAAGATTTTATATAACGGAAAAAATATTATATTTACAATTTATTTATATTTAATAAATTCATTATAAATTATAGTAAAAAAAAAAATATTAAACTTTTGTAATTTTTTCTGAAATTATTAAATACAATAAATCAAATAATTAAAAATCTTAGATGAAAAAATCGTGCATCGCACGGGCTTTCATCTACTAAATAAATACTAG